TTTTTTTTTTGTCTTGACCTAAACACAACTTTACTCAAAATTAAGTCACATATTATAACACTCAGCAAATCAGGAAGGATTTGCTTTTCTCCCAATTATAGTTATCAGAAAAAAAAATCAAAGAAGCAATTATTGTTGAATCAACTATTTAACCTTTCTGATCATGTGGTTGTTTGTATTGAACACAGGTTGGTAATTTAGGGTGGCAGATAATGTATATAAAGGGTCTTATACATATGCTCTTTTAATGGAAGGTACAAAGAGGTATTAATGTAGAAACTAGAACAGAAGACGATGACTTGTTTCTCAGATCTTTTTTTTTTCCTGGCAGGAGCTTATGGAGTCGTGGGAGGTAAGCTGTTTGGAGGACATGTCCTAGGAGAAGGGTACAAAGCAACGCAGTCCAAAAACCCCGTGTACATTCTATTCTGACCCAGAAAGCCTTCAAGACACAGATTGATTAGAACCAGGTAACGAAGTAGAAAGAGATGAAAAAGCAAAGCAAAATCACGGGTGCCCCTAGGGAGTCTGCTCCACGCGTGGCTTTACAGGGGCTCCACATTTGCTGCTGAGCTTTTCCATGGCCACCATCAGCAGTGACAATGGCAAGGACGGGCGTAAGGAGTGCCACGTACTGGGAAACGGCCAGCGTGGAGAGAGGCTGGAAAGGGGAGGCTCCTTGGAAACGGGGAGGTTTGAGCCACATTTGAAGGGTGCAGGAGTGACAGAGTCCACCCGGGCAAAATAAGTAGACAGAGAGCCAGGAGGCGGGGCCCGCGTATGGAGGTCCTCCTGGACAGTCTCAAGGTCTTAAATATCACCCTTGAAATTTCCCACACAAAGGAGCACTGGCTCTGCCTGAGGAGAACCTGACCTGACAGGAGTGGTGTTTGGAGGAAATTGTCCTGGAACCACACAGCTGCAATTTTCCCCTCAGTAAATTATAATCTATCGCCGACATTTAGGAAAGTGCTTTTACCCAGGTCTCTCCTGATGTGGTCCACGACTGGCTCTGCCATTGGCAAATGTGGAATATTTAGAAAAATCTGTGCAGCATTAGCTTCGCATAACTTTCCCTTTAAACGTAGTGAAGCAAACTGCAGACTTAGAATGGCATGCATCCGCCTGGAGTGGTTTCATCCAGGTTCCCTGTGGGATTTAAAATCCCTTGTTGTTGTTGCATCTAGGCATGGACAGGGGCTTGAATGTGGAAATCTGGAGAGGAGGACTAGAATCAATCTTAGATATAACAAGAAGCACAGAACTTTCCCTTTCTGTTTGCTTTTCTTGGAAGTATAATGTTTGGAGAGTTTAAAATGATTCTAGATTTAAAAATCATTCTGCTGAAATAGTACAATCAGCAGGGCTTTCCTTCTCAAAAGATGGTTATATTTTTGCAAGTATGTGGACCTCACGATCAGTTCACGTATTTGTATTTGACATGTAAGCTTGAATTATGGCTGAACTGGTTTCTCCCTTGTGTTTGGAGGGGGCCTGGTGGCTCCTTCAGTCTCCAGAAGACATGTGGTTGGTAATTGCTCAGTTGAGCTACGACAGAGGCTAGTGTAAGGCAAGAACAGAGTACCACAGGGACTGAGCCTTTCAGGGCCGTAACATATTTGATGGAACGGGGGTTCCCTCAGCCTGAGATGCAAGCCTCTTTAACAAGACCAGAAGCCATCTCTTCTTGTTCCAGGTCACTTGTGGCCCATGTGGAACCCGTCCTCTGTGGACAGCTGTTATAGGGCCGTGTTCCTTTTGCTCCTTGGGAAAACATTCTCGGTGAGTTTTTGGTGGGGAAGGGGAGAGGGTAGGCTTCTTTGTCACCCATTTGCTTTGTATGACCCAAGTGATCTTCTTCCTTTGTCTTTCTTTCTTTTCTTCCTTTTACATTTGAGACAGATCTTACTTTGTAGCCCAGGCAGCCTTGAATTCTATATAGCTCAGACTGGCTTTGAACTAGCAATCCTCCTGTCTCAGCCTCGAGTGACTGTTTCCTTCTGGGGCCACCTCCGCTTGACTCTTGGGAAACAAGCTGAGTTCCCTGAAAGGGAGGCCTAAAATGAACAACGGAGTCTTCTTCCCTAGTTTGTGGCTAACTCTCAGCTGACAAGAGAATTTCACTTGTAAGTTGAAGACCCGGGAGAGAGTTCTAGTGAGAAGATCTGGATTTTGAATTCTCTGCCTTTGGTCAACTGAGTTGGGCTGTTCTTTGTGATCTTGGGTAATTTTTTTTTTTCTATAAGGAAGTGAAAGTATGAACAACAAGTGACTCAGAAAGTGTAGTCTGTGGTAAGTTAGCGTTGTAATGAAATTCATTCACTTATGTAAGGAATATTTATTGAGCTCCTTCCATGCTTGGTGCTGAGGATATGGGCAAATAAATAAATCACGGCCCGTCAACCGTGGATATGACATCTGGCTGACTTATCTGTTCTCAGATGTATAGCAAATGATGCCAGTTCCATAAAGTCCTTGTGAGAGGAGGGCGTGGGGTGAGGAGTTAGAGAGAAAGTAGAGGAGGTGTTCTTTTTTTGGCACCGGGGATCGAACTCGGGTCTCTGCTCTTTCTAGGCAGGCGTTGGAACCACTGAACTAAATCCCTGGCCCGAGGAGGTGTTCTTTTAAAATTGGAAAGTACTGTGTTGTCTGTTTTTGTTTATTTGTTTGTTGTTTGTTTGTTTTTGGTACCAGGGATTGAATTTGGGACCTCGCGATTGAAGAACCACTGAGCTAAATCCCCAGCCCTGTTGTCTGGTTTTTATTGTGATATAAAACAACAAAGGCTTTGCTATGTCCTAATATAAGTAGTTGTGCTACTCTGTATCCAACTTAGCATTTATTAAAGCATTTATAGAAATTCACCTACTAACACCTTGGAGACTAGTTTTTCTGTGAAACATCTTTTGAGGCAACTCAGTGGAAATTAACAAATGTGGAAAATTATCAGGGGGACGAAGTTGGCTGCAGTGAGTGGTGACCCAATGTTGCTGTCACAAGTGGGGGCCCCCACAGAAGCCACCAGGCCTGTCCTTAGGGGCCACCAGAGGTACCTGTTGCAGTGCCCAGGGCTCTCTGCTGTGCTCCTTCCCTATGACAAATGACTCTGTCCCAGCCATGGGCCCACCTGTTTCAGTTCATAGGTTTTCATAATCTGGGCTCCAATCTGCCTTGGCCTAGTATCATTTCTTGAAGTAGCATTAATAAAATAAAGGCAAATTACTTTTGTTATTTTATTCTCTTATTATAACAGCAAAATCTACTTTTCATGGAAATATCATAAAATGATATAAATTAGTAAAAAGAAGGAAAAGTCCACCCAGAAATGATTATCTGCCGGACGTGGTGGCGCAGCCTGTAATGCCTGCACTCAGGAGGCTGAGGCCTGAGGCAGGAGAATCGCTGTGAGTGCGAGACCAGCCCGAGCTACATAGTGAGCTCCAGGTCAGTCTTGACTACATAGTGAGACCCTGCCTAAAAAATAAAACAAAACAACAACAACAACAACAAAAAAACAAAACAGAAATGATTATCCAGCACTCTGTAACTTTCTGTCTGTCTCACACACAAGTATCAGAGGGGTTTATTTGATCTTTTCCTCTTAATACAACTTTGTGACAAGGGCTCTTTCTTCCATGCTACTTGCATTGTCTCCCACCCCCTGTAGTTGCTCATAAATATTTAGTGAAAGAATAACCAATTGTAAGGTTTCTCCTAGTTCTGAACCTATGACCGTTTTTTTAAAATTCTACGAATCTTGTACATGACTGCAAGTTATTCTGTACTGATTTTTAAAAATTATTAGACTTTATTTTTTACAACATTTTTAGATTTACAGAAAGATTGATCAGAGAGTACTGAGTTACCATATACAACTCCTTTCTCCCAAACACAGTTTTCCCTGTTATTAACATCTTATATTAGTGTGGGACATTTATTGCAACTAATAAAAATATTCATGATATTTCCTGCTAAAGAACATAGTTTACATTGTTTCAATCTTGTGTTGTACAGTTCTATGTTGACAAATATATAATTCCATGTATCCATCATTGCTGTATCATTCAGAAGAATTTCATTGCCCTAAAAATCTCTTGTGCTTCATTTGTTCATCTTCCCACCCCTTAACCACTGGAAACTGCTGATCTTTTTACTGTTTCCGTAGTTTTGCCTTTTCACCATCCCATGCAGGTAGGAATCCTCTAGGCTATGTCTTCAGCCTGGCTTCTTCTGCTCAGCAGTATGCACTTAAAGTTGATTTCTTCGCGTCTGCTCATAGCTTGATCTGGACAGATTTGAGAAGCTCTGGCCCTGGTTTAATATTGATTTTCTGAGCAATGTAAAGCATGGCTCCTGGCCTTTGTGCTTAGACTGCAAATGTGGGTTCTGGGTTTTGTACTGATGGCAAGGAGAGGCCAGGGCCAGGAACTGATTCTCCAGGGAGGGGCTGCAGCTGGTGCTCATCCAGCAGAGTCATCTGGGAGTAGATGGGCTGAGAGGAGGGGGCCCCGCTGAAACCCCTCAGATCCTCAGCTGTTCCCAAATTCAGTGTGGAAAATAGCACTTGGGTCAAAGGCAGTATCCTGGCTGTCACTGCACAAGTACCAACACAGAAACCAGGGCACACACGTAGACATGAGCGCAGAGGCTGAGGGACCATGAGGCTAGAAGACAGGACTCTCAGAAATCGTAGGAGTAGCTCTGGACTTGAGCACTGAAGAAATGGATGGTTTGCTAACTAAATCTCCAAGGGGAATGGGGAGGCTTCCTATTGTATTTGGATTGTATAATTTGCAAATTTTTGTACATTTATACTTATTTAGCTGTTCCTTCGTTTAAAAAGTACCCTTTGAACCTCTGCTGTGTGATTGTGCATTGTAATTTTGGTTGATCGCTAGTGACAAACACCACAGTAAGAATGGCTTAAGTAAAATGGCAGGCTTCTCAGGGCAGGTGTGGCGGCTTCTCCTGTTCTGCTCTGAAGCCCTTACCGTATGGCTTAGTTCTTGAAGGTCTCTTCTCTGGCTCCCGCAGCTTCCGTCATCACATTCAGATTTCAGGCAGCAGAACGGAGGGCAGGACCGGGATGTTTCCACTTCAAGTCAACTCCTGTCGCTGTCTTCCCTAGAAGTCATGTCCAACAAACGCACTTGCACCTCGAGTAGAAGAGGAGGTTGGGAAATGTAGGATTTCAGCTTGTTATATTGCTTCCCTGAAGCAGAGTTGTTTTACTCTGGAGGGAAGGGGATTAATACACAACAGTGACAGGTATTGTTTGTCGTCCTGCAGTTTCTGTCACGGCCTAGAGAATCTGGGCATAGAAGTCGGCCTTCTAACAGGCAACAAGTGAGTAAGCCTCACAGTGGCTGTGTGTACAGAACAGGTGGGATACAGGGAGCAAAGAATCCGGATGGGATTGGGAGGACAGGGAGG